TTAAAACCATCCAAACTAAACATCTTGGTGGTCTTAAATTTTTTTTAAAATTGGGTTTAATAAAATAGTAGAGAATTAAAATCAAGATAGTTTTATAATTAAACAAACAATTTGGCCACTCTATATATATTATTAAAGCAAACAATTTGGCTGCTCTATGTATATTAAATTTGGCCACCCTATGTATATTAAATTTGGCCACCCTATGTATATTAAATTTGGCTGCCCTATGTATACTAAATTTGGCCATTCTATATATACTAAATTTGACCACTCTACTAAAACTTGACCACCTTTGTATATACAGTTAAAATATATAATTTGGCCACCTTTGTATGTATAAGTATGCTATTAAAACAAGAAATTTGCTGCCTATAATGATAAGCAACATTAAACTAGCAAATTTTGATACTAAACCAATACAATTATATGAAAAGTTATTCAAATTATCAATTTCACATTAAAGGTGTAATTGAAGGCATCTGATTAGTGAAACATTAGTCCAATATTTAAATCAAATTGTTCACAGTTCAGGTTGATACCATTATTGAACTTTAATAAGATTTGTAAAACCTAGCACTGCAGACTTATGTATAGTTAATAATTTGAGCTTCAAATTTGTATTATTTATTGTTTAAATTATATATGTATATATGTATATATACTTAAAAAGCTTAGAAAAAAAGGGATAAGCTATATGTATGTAGTGTTTCAGGCGAAATCTAAAAAAAGAAATTATAACAATATATTTGATTACTTTTTTGGGGTTTCATCCAAAACACAACCAGGATAAGTAATTTATGAATAATAAATTTACTATGCAAAAGAAACATCAACTAATCAACTTCAATTGAACTTAAAGCAAATTCAGGAATTTGATGATATGAGCAGTATTTTTTAATAGCAAATTCTGCCACTTTATCTTTTAAACCTTTTTTGATATGCATCTATATAGCGAAAGACTTTTCTTGCATATTGGCAAATAGTTGGAAGTAGGACAGAGTCAAGAGCTAATAGAACAGTTTTTTGTAATCCTTTCCATGACTAATTACAATTTGCCTAACTATATTTTTTGGCAGCATTCTAAAAGTTCTCAATGTAATTGAGCTCACAATGAAATTTAAAGTAAAACACAATTTGATGCCTAGCCACAATAATGGTTTCCTCCAACTGCCCTTTTTGTGCCAGAAAATCTGGCTGTTGACTCATTAATTCTCATGTTTTTTGTAATTTCAATCCTTTTTCTGGCCACAATCCTCTCTTACTAAAACTTGTTTTAATCCTTTAGCTTCTTCACATAATTCAAAGATGTGATAATTTAATAGAAATACTATATCCTAATCATTTTTTATTTCTCTACAAAAATATGATGTGCTGTATATTTTTTCTTGTTTTTTAGCAGAACTAAGGTTTATATTCTTTGCAACAAGTGCATGAGATGCATAAGTAGTATGACTTTTTGCATTGTTAAATACAAATAATGCTTAACATTCCAGAAAACAGACTTCAAATATTGGAATGGCATGATTGGATACTTGTTCAATCAAATTTTCGGATTTCTACCATCTATCATTGTTTTTGCCAGGGTATATAATAACACAAGCTTTTCTAGGAAGCGTATCTGATGGTTGCATTTTTTTAGGAAGCAAAAGTCATCTATGAACATCTGTAAGAAATTCACTGACATGAATTGAACATCCCTCACCTTTTTTTTTAAAAGGTTGTTTCTCTTCAGAAATCCAGAGACTTTGAGTTTTATCATAAGCTAAAAAGATGCATTTATTATGTATAACAAAAATAAGCAGCTGTATACTACTATCTGGCCAGGTTTCTACTTCCATATCCTTATCTGAAAATACAGGCATTCTATGTTCAAGCTCATTCATTTATTCTAAAAATATTTTTCAATAGGCCACTATGTCTTCTCTTTCATGTTCATCAATATAAATACTCTTTTTTACTCTTTTATATACATAACTAAGCTCTTTCAGATAATTTTTTGCAGTATTAAGAGAAATAATTGGTGGTGCAAATCTGAGCCCTGGTAAAATAACTTCATTTATCTGTAGCATAACTATATGTGGAGTAATATTTTACTTATTTTCTCAAATATATGACTTGATTTGAAAAAGAATATCTTTGTTCCAAAGAAAGCTTCTCATTTTAGTATGGTGTTCTTGGCATTAATAAGGAATTTGATGGGTTATAACATACTCATGTGACCAAGAATGAATATATCTAGCATGTATACCCCTTTTTCTGTCACATTTGCAACTATCTTACTTGCTTCTATTTTCCAATAATTGTATTTTGTAAGTTGAAGATAAAAGCAAATACTATTAAAATACACCCAAACTTCACTATTTACATTCTTATTTTTGATATCTAGTGTTATGTTTTTAAGTATGGTTTGGATTTTTTTATACCAATTAGAGGTTTCAATCTCATCTTCTGATAGCCCTCTAGTATTATCTTCATCGACTTTATCCAGCCATCTATTATCAGACAATTCTACCTTAATATCTTCTTTAGCAGTCTTGTTTTAATTCCAAAAGGTAAACAATGTAGGCATTACTTTTGCTGTTTTATGCTATTGCTGTCTTTTTTTTCTTTTAGTATAAATAGAGTTTTCTAAGTAGCATGACCTATGGAATTTATTAGAATCACTTTTACGATAAAAGGTATTTGCTGCATTTAAAAGTGTTTTTGCAAAACCTTCAGCATTATCATTCTCAATCTCAATTAACTCATCATGAGCAAAAAGACTTTCATTATCTAATTTTTTAGCACATTATTATTGCTATAATAATTGTTTGCTGCAGCTTGAAGTCTTTTTACAATGCTTGCAGCATTGTTATTCTCAACCACCTCATTATAAAAAAAGTTATCAGAATTTTCTGCTTTAGAATTATTAACATTAATATTATGCTTATGTGCCTTTGCCTTATAAGCTTGCTTTGATTTTTTTTTATTGTTTGTTGGGAACAGCATATTATTACTAACAAATCAATTGCTCAAGGTAGTTTTAATTTTTATATGAAATTACTTTATTGCAAAGAAACTCAAGAAGTTAATTTTGACCAGATTGTTAATAATTATTTATTTATATTATATTCATTTTTGAACCTTCAGATACGTCATTAAACAATTCTATAAATTTAATATAGCAGGACTTTGAATAGCATAATAGGGTGGTTTTTTTTTTCTCTTAAATCTTTTTCTTTTTTTATAAATTCAAAGATAGTTCTGAACATGCTTAATATGACCTTATTCAGGATTCTGTTTATTTTAGTTTATCTTTTTTTTTGTTATTTAATTATGGTTTAAATTACTTTACAGTTTAAGTTAAATTCTAGATATTTCAGTAGTCATATTATATATCAAAGTTATTGGCATAACTAATGCATTAAAAAGCAATCAAAAAATAGCTGTAATATATTTTTTTAAGTATTTCAAGAGTTGTGATTAAATAAATAAACCAATATAAGGAAAGAGATCAAATATTGGTATTTACAAAAGGAGGTAAATGTGTAATAGAATTTTAATATTTAAAGTACATTTATAAATTTTCTAATATGCTTGGAATTATATAGGGTGACATCAATAAAAATGAGACAAATCTATCTAATAAAGTTGTCCTATTTTTATTGATGTCACCCTATATTATTTTTTATAGTGATTTCAGAAAAATAGTTTATTATTTAATGCCTATAGAGGTGTGGATGAATCATCCCAATGACATTCTAATGATGTTCCAATTATGTTACAGCTTAAGCTATAACTAGCTAAAGCTTATATTATAACTAGTTATGACAATTATTGGGATGATTCATCTGCACCTCTAGTCTAGTGGCTGCTTTGTATTCAATTCAATTTGCCAAAAGTAATATTGATGTGTTGTATATGTGAAAATGAGATATTGAAAATTTAAGTTTATAACTTATCAGTCTTAGCTCTTATAAGCAAATAATTGTCATATATTACTAATTAAATATTTACAGAAACTAGATTCAGTAAGTTGTAAACTCAAATTCCTGAATTATTATTTCCCTAGCAATATTTATATTCTTGTATCATCATTATATATATAAAATAAATTTGGTGTATATAATGAAAATATCAAATTTGGCTATATATCGATATAATAAAAATATTGAATTTGGCTATAAATAATGAAAATATTGAATTTGGCTATATATAATAAAAATATCGAATTTGGCTGCATATAATAAAAATATTGAATTTGGCTGTATTATATAAGATTTCAAATTTGGCTGCTAGAAAATTTTATTTGTCAAAACTAGGTTATTTGCACTATGCAATCAATTAAAAATACAATATAAAATATTCTAATATTACTAAAAATTACCAATATAACTTTAACAACCTTATTAAATATTTTTTTAAATTTTATACATAATACACCAAATCCTCAATTCAAATATATCTTATATCATTACTAGAAATTTTACTTTTATTATTTACAAAAATATCAAAGCACTTATTAACAAACAAACTGATGTCTTTCTACTCTAGCTTTCAAACAATCTATTAAACTAGTTTTATCAAAATCTCTGGTCTACTTGCAACATATATTAACACTAATGAGAAATATCTCATAACATTATATTAAAATCTAAATATACTAAAATTTACTTACCAACATCACCAAATTCTTCAAACAATATAACAATCTTTTCTCAAATTATAAATACTAACTCCTTTATTATTAAATGGCTTATACAAGGTTATTTACTAACTACTTATATTTAATAATGTTCAGACAATCACTTGAAGATCTTTTTCAACCTATCCTAGCTAGAACCTAATTTGAAATAGTTAGCTATAGTACTTATAGAAAATAGAAAATATAATGTCATATTGAGTACCAACTTGTAGCACAAATATAGTTTAAAAATCTTTAATTTTAGAACTTATAATTTTATGTATAAAAAGTTTTTACTTAAATATTATATTAATAAAAAAAAAAAAAATTTAATATTATATATCAATATATATCTGCTTAAAAATTTTGCTGATGATAACTAGTTGTAACCTTTTAGATAAAAGTGTTTTTAAAGATTCTTATATTTAATAAACTTAAATAATAATTATTTTTTAAATACAAGATTTTTAATACAAAAAAATAAAATAAATAATTAAATAAATAAATTATTATTTTTTATTTATATTTAAATTTAAATTTTAGAGATAGAGTTTTATAGCCTAGTAGTCTAGATGCTTCTTTCTCTACAGACAAGGTCAACAGTTCAATTTTAGATAAAGGCAAAACTCTATAATCTATAGAAGCATATGAATGTATATGAAGCCCTGTGGGTTAAGTCTATATAAATAGAAAATTAATATATAAAAATGTTCTTAAAAAGAAGTTTTTTAATATAAAAAGTTAACACTTAATGTGAGAAAAGCAATAAATATATCAGAAACAGAGAGAAAGTGCACTAGCAGGTAATGCAATGAACATAAAAGGAAAGTATAAGAAAGGAATAGACTTACTAAAATTTGAACATCTTTGGCATCAAACTGATTTAATAGATACAAAATATACTAAAATAGATAAAATTTAAGAGTAATCTTAATATCATATTTAGTAAGTTAGTATTGAGAGTAAATTCAAAGAACTATAAATACTTAGTAATATTCAATAAGATAGTACTTAGATATAATAGTAATTAGATAGTTCTAATCTGTTCTGTTATAATAATAATAATATATATTGAATATATATGCAATAAATATTAAAAATTAGAAGTTTAAATAAGAAACTTATAGGTGGATCTCAGATATAGCATCTAATAGATAACCTATAAACAGAACTCTTAATTAGATAATGGCTAAAGTTATATGTATGATAAATTGTACTTTTATTGATACTCTGTATATAATTTATAATCTTATATTACTAATAATAAAAAGACATACAGACAATATTGCTTTTAAAACTAAATAAAAAATAAAAAAATAAAAAATTTAAATTAAATTTTATTAAAATAAAATATATAGTTTTGGATTATTTAAATTTTATATTTATTATTATTTATATTTTTTCTAATTTATTATTTAAATAATAATTTTAATTATCTAACTATATTTTTTAGTTAATCAAAAGATATAATAAATAAGAAATAAATAAATATATATATATATATACAATTATTTATGTTTGTTAACTAATTTAGTAAACTTTATATATATATTTTTTTATTATTATTGGCAGCCATAATAATTATCAGTCAGAAGTTTATTTATAACAGTTTAGTACAAACAATATACAAATACAACTTTATCCAATTCTTGTATTATTATCATATAGTTATCTTAGTTGGCATCTACAAGTAACCTATTACATCAGATCTGCTAAAGTCTAAATTAAGCTTATCTGTCCGCTATTGTACAATTGAACAACACCAATTTGATACTATTTGTTTATAAAAAGGTAAAAAAACTTCTTATTAAAAAAAATGTATTAAAAATATATATAAAAAAATATATATAAAAAAAACAAATATCAAAAAAAAAAAAAAGTGCTGATACAAGGACAAACAAATAGTCACAAATTCTAAAGACTATATCAGCCTACTAAAAATTATATATTACAAATATAGTAATTTTTATTTTATCTCTATCAAATTAATATATATAATACTATAATAGGATTTACTTTTTTTCTATATTAATATATATTTATTTCTAGCTCTATATTATATTTTATATTTTTCTTAATATTTTTATATAGTTTATAAGTTATTTTATTAGTTTTAATCACTTTTTTAATAGGTTAATATTTATTTTATTTTTATTTTATTTTTTATTTTTTTTTTGTTATGCCAAAGTAGAAACTTTATTAGGTAATAAAAGTAATTACATTAAAGATTTCTAAACTATATT